TATTAGCTCAGAGATTTTTACTTAGAGAACAGGAATGAGAAAACACAAATATGATAATGTAATATATAATAGAGTCAACACTGCCGAATGAGGAAGAAAAAGATAAATTTTCATATCTAAAGAGATGAAAAGTAAATAAATATTTAAGCACTACCTTACACCAGATAAAAGTGAGGACCAGTTGGATTTAAAACCTAAATGTAAAAGGTAAAATACACTAGCTTTTAAAAGATAATATAGAACATCAGCATAACCTGTCCTTATGAAAATGATTTCTGAATTTGACTACATCAAAATTTAAAACTTCTAGAGATTTAAAAAAACAGTCTACAAGATATATTATATGATATTTTCACCATATACAAAAGGATAATATTTACAAAAAATTAAGAACACTTTGTCGCTCAATAAGAAAGATAAAAAAATTGAAAAAAATGAAAGCAGAAATAGTAATTTTACCAAAAAGAAGGCACCAACATCTCAGAAGCACAAAAAATATCAACTATATTAAAAATTAGTAAAATGAAAATTTAAGTCACAATGAGGCATAATATTGTAGCAGCAAATTAGGGGGAAAAGTCAGACACTATCTAGTGTTCACAGAAATATAGAGCAGTGAGAATTCCATTCCTTATTGATTACAGAAAAATCAGTATATCAACTTTGGAAAACAGTGTGTCATGGACTACATGATATACCTGAAATGTGCATTCCTTAGGTTTACAAAACCTACTAGTAAGAATGTACCCTAAGAAAAAATTGTCTCTACTCTAGAACCATGTACATGAATACTTATAACAACATCCTATATAATAAAAGCCTAATATGCAAAATGACTGAACAGCAGAACAACCAGTCGCTATGATGCGCACTGACCACCAGGGGGCAGATGCTCAATTCAGGAGCTGCTCCCTGGTGGTTGGTGTGCTCCCACAGCGGGAGCACTGCTCAACCAGAAGCTGGGCTTGGGGCTGGTGAGCACAGTGGTGGCGGTGGGAGACTCTCCCGCCTCTGCTGCAGTTCGGTGGCAAGGAGCAAGGGGTCCCAGACTGCGAGAGCCCAAGACTGTGAGAGGGATGTCGGACTGTTAGCTTAGGCCCAATCCCCAGGGGGAGCAGAGCAGGCCTAAGCCAGCAGGTGGACATCCCCTGAGGGGGAGATATATATATAATAACTAAAGACCCAGTGCACAACTTTCATGTACTGGGTGGGGGGTCCCTCAGCCTGGCCTGCACCCTCTCATAGTCTGGGACCCCTGGGGGAATGTCCACCTGTTAGCTTAGGCCCCACAAGGTGTGGGGCCTAAGCCGACCGACAGACATTCCTTGAGGGGTCCTTAGTGCCTCTGTGCTCAGCAGCCATGTGCCCGGCTTCTTGCTGAACAGTGCTCGTCTTGTGGGTACGCCGCTCGGCCAGAAGCCGGGTTTGCTGCTCCTTAGCACTGCCTCGGAGGTGGGAGAGGCCCCGCCACTGCTCCTGTGCTTGCCAGCTGTGAGCCCGGATTCTGGCTGAGCTCCTGTGTTGAGCATCTGCCCCCTGGTGGTCAATGCACATCATAGAGACCGGTTGTTCTGCCATTTGGTCGATTTACATATAAGGGTTTTATTATATAGGATAAGCAAAATCTGGGAACTCCCCAAATGTTCATGAAGAGAAGAATGTTATCTATCTATTATCTATCATCTATCTATCTATCTATCTATCTATCTATCTATCTATCTATCTATCTATATGTAATATGCTAATTGGTCCTAATGGTGTCCCAGTCACGACTTTTCAACAGGCTGCGCATACATAGGATCTGGTGGGTGGGATGGGGCAGGGACTTGCGCTACCAGGACATGAGGCTGCTGCCGGGGACAGCCCCCCGGCAGAGGTGCGCGCATGGCCACCATGCGGCCCAGCCTGGAGGGGGGCATCAGGATGGGGGCAGCACCCCCCCCCCCCGTGGAGGCACATGCAGGCCCAGCATGTGGCCTGGCCAAGAGGGGGGCATCAGGATGGGGGCAGGACCTTGGTGGAGAGCTCTCAGCACTCCTGTACCGGGGTCTGAAGGCGCGGAGAGGAAGGGAGAGCAGATGGGCAGTAAGGGGGTTTAGGCCAGGAGGGGAGTGAAGATAGGCAGTTAGGGGGATCAGGCCTGGAGAGGAGAGCAGATAGGCAGTTAGGGGGATCAGGCCAGGAGGGAGAGCAGTTAGAGTCCTCAGGCTGGCAGGGGAGCAATAAGGGGCATCAGGCCAGTAGGCAGGTGAGCACTTAGGAGCCAGTGGTTCTGGATTGCAAAAGGGATCCCAGATTGGAGAGGGTGCAGGCCAGGCTTAGGAACTCCCTTCCAGTGCACAAATTTCATGCACCAGGCCTCTAGTAAAAAATAAAAGAATAGTAAAAATGAATCAACTAGAATTCTATACATTGACATAGATGAATTTCAAAAATAATTGAGTGAAAAAACAAAATCATACAGTATAAGTCTATTTTCAGATTAAGTTCAAACACAGGCAAAATGCAACCATATTTATTCAGGGCTAAATATGTAGACAGTAAAAAAATACTACAGAGAAAAATAAGAGTAAACAAAAACTTCAAGATTTGGAGGGAACAGAATGGTACAAATGATCCTTTTTCTGGACCTAGATATTGAGAACAAGGAGGATTATCTTCACTCTGTACCTGCATGTGTATTTGTGTGTGTTTACTTCTTTATTTATGGTTTACTTCATAATATTTAAAGAAGGATAAACTATAGTCTATTGTATTTGTCATATATCTTCCAATGAATCATATAACATACAAATACTTAAAGTTTTTTAATTCTGCAGAAAATTTGCAGTTTAAAAAACTTTTATATTAACAATTTTCTTTGAGGTCAATTTCCCTTGGCTCAAGTGAGGATAAGAATATAAAAGACATGTTCGTTTAAGAGGCAGAAAGGATAGTATGAAGCAGAAATAAATGTGATGTTCTGAATTTTATATCCAAAACTCATCAACACAAGCAAAGGGTAAGCACACCACGTCAAGTGAAAGTAACTTCGATGAATTAACAATGACAGTTATCATTAGTTGAGTTTATATGTCCAAATAATTGGCCAATTACTTAAGGTAGATTATCTTTAATCCTCACAACAATTCTGGATGGTAGAATATAAGAAAGAAAAATTGATTAGCCACGTAACCCAGCTCATGTATGCAAAAGCCAGTATCTGATCCCAGGAGTGTCTCTTATATGTGACCTTGTCATTACCTCATGTTTCCCAGATATTATTCAAGGTCAAACTGTAGGACGTAATGGAGCCAGATAAGACTTGACCTTTCATCTAGCTCTGCAAATTATTGGCTGTTTGACCTTGGATAATATTTAATAAATACATGCTTAAGACTTTGTGTTTTTTTATTAATTGGAGATCTTAAAACCTGTCTATTACAGTTATTAGGAGGTTTGAATTAAATCTGTATGTAAAACACTAGTACAAAACAGCTGTTCAATTAATATTAGCTTATTCTATTATTATTATTCATACTTGGCAACTTCAGTTAGTTTGATTATATAAACATCTCCAAAAATTTTCAGCATCCTGTGGTTAGAAAGTGGGACATTTTGTCGGATTAATATAGGGCTGATTAAGCAAAAGGAGAAAAAAAATAAGAGGACTCCAAAGGTAAGGATGCTGGTAACTAACACACTTTCATGATGGTTCATGGGGTCATGGCCAAGGTGGAAAGACAATGAAACCTAGAATAGAAAGACTCTCTGAGAAATGAAGAACATCCTTGGGAAGAGAGAGCAGCTTTAATGAAGATGGGGAGGGGGAGATTGAAGGGGCATGATTTGGGGAAAGGAATGAAAGAAGAAAATTAAAGAAGACTATAATTAGATCATCCACACCTGACCCAGAGCTCAAAACATTTCACAGCCCCGAACAATTTCATAACTGTTTGGACACCATCACTCCAGTTTTCCTGACAGGATGAGCTATGAGGAAGATTGACCAGTAGGACCTCACATTGTGGCTGAATTACCTGGGATGCAGCTTCTCGGGGTTGCTCAGATGTCTTTACCAAACAATAGCTTTATTTCTGTGACATACTCACTATGAAAAAGACACAAAAAACTAGAGCTCCTTCGGTCAAATAATAGAATATGGACTTCCCATTATATGTTATTCTCTTTCATCAATTTCTACTTATATGGCCTTCTGAATCCCTGTTTCCAGCAACCTAATTTTTCAGTCCTCTAGAAAAACTTGCTTTTTCCTGTTAAGTTTTCCAACAAGAAAAATGTTTCCTCTATCTCTCACCTAAGACTAGAATTTTGCTACACATGTACAGGCCTACTTGACTATGTTTAACTTCCTGTCTGTTTGTCCAAGTATTGCTAACCTTAATCCCTGACAGTGTCTAGAACAGTGATGGCGAACCTTTTGAGCTCGGCGTGTCAGCATTTTGAAAAACCCTAACTTAACTCTGGTGCCGTGTCACATATAGAAATTTTTTGAGATTTGCAACCATAGTAAAAAAAGACTTATATTTTTGATATTTATTTTATATATTTAAATGCCATTTAACAAAGAAAAATCAACCAAAAAAATGAGTTCGTGTGTCAGAGGTTCGCCATCACTGGTCTAGAACATGGTACCGTACCTTTAATATTTTGAATTGCCATTTAAACATACCTGACCTAATGAATCAATCTAATTCAAGACATATGTCTATTAAGTCAAGTCTTACTGAATATTCCCAAGATACCCCCAGAGATTATTAAAAAGCAGTTGGGTAATACCAAGTACTATAGATTTCTAAAAACGTTAATGCCTTCTTCAGTTAATATTGTAAGGGCTATTTATTATTGGTTTTCTCTCTGCAATTTGAAATTGTTTTCGCTCTGACCCATGAGACATACCTTACGGTGTGCAGAAGAAATACTAATTAGAGATCCTTTCAGTGACAAATGAGACACTGCAGTAAGGGAAGTAGCACTTTGGCGTACACTGAACTCCATACCTGAGCGCATAGCCTCTTTCTGAATGCTTTCATAGTCATGCCAGTCTTTTCTTCTCAAACCATCTGTCCATGCATAGAATTGCCCATCTCCCAGGCCCAGTGGAAATGTCTGTGGAAAAGGAAAGTATTCAGAGCATAAAAAGGAGGTATTTCCTTTTGCATGGTAGGTAAACACAGCCAGGCACATAATAGGCAATCAAAGAATATTTGTTGAATAAGTGTTTCTTCCAAGTGTACTGAAAAGAAAGCTATTGCTAGTGACCAGATTAATAAACATTTTAAAACCCTGTTTCAGCTTTTTAAAAATTATTATTTATTGTCTGAAGTTTTACATATGTCTCCTTTTTCCCTGCCTAACCCCTCCCCCCCCCCCAGCCATTCCCACCCCAGGCAAGCCCCCATCGCCCTAGTTTCTGTGTCCATTGGTTATGCTAATATGCATGCATACTAGTCCTTTGGTTGCTCTCTATCCCCCCCTCCCCTGCCATTTGTCTCTGGATTTATTCTTGTTCATCAGTTTATGTTGATCATTATAATTATATCCCACATATGAGTGAGATCATGTGATATTTATCTTTCTTTGACTGGCTGATTTCACTTAGCATAATGCTCTCCAGTTCTATCCATGCTGTTGTAAATGGTAAAAGTTCTTTTTTATTACAGCTGAGTAGTATTCCATTGTGTAGATGTAGCACAGATTTTTAATCCACTCATCTGCTGATGGGCACTTAGGTTGTTTCCAAATCTTAGCTATTGTAAATTGTGCTGCTATGAACACAGGAGTGCATATATCCTTCCTGATTGGTTTTTCTGGTTTCATGTGTCAACCACAACATCTACCCTTTTCTATTTTATTTCATACAGAGACTTTAGTAATAATTCAGCATTTCACCTTTCATGAGCATAAAAGCCTAGCTGTTTTCATTTGCCCAAAGTGTAAATATCAGTAATACTATCAATTTTGGTATGAAATGAAATGAATTTTGTTTGCGATTTGTATGGTTTCATTAATTTTGATCAAGTATATTTGAATAGCCTGATAGTAATATCAGCAACCATTCATTGAATGCTCACTATGTGCCAGGTATTATGTTAAATACTCTGTATATTGAAGATTGTTCAATCTTTATGATAGTCTTTGGTTGTAAATCTCCATTTTTTCTGCCTATTAAGCTTGAGGCCCAGAGAACTGAAATAACTTGAATTAAACCACAGTGGCAACGTCAGAACTTGGACCCATTCTGTTAAGACCAAAACTGTGGTCTTAAAAACTAGTAAATACCGCCTCCTATCTAGACTTCCGGTAAAGTATGTTACCCGGTTATGCTTACAGTTGAAAACTATCACGCACTCAACAACTGCAGTCAGAACATGTTTTGTGCTTTGGTAAAACCCAGTATGTTCTAATGTCAACTTGAAAAGTATTTCTGTGTACATTGCTGAAGCTACTATTTTTATGGTGTTTATTTTTGGTAATAGAAAAATGTTTTAAATAAATATTATTTTCACCAATCTTAATAATCAAGAAAATATAAAATAAATGTTTTCATATTTACATATCATTTCCTTTTCATTTAGTTTATGTTTGAAATTAGTAATATATCTACAGATGAAGATAAAGAAAATTTTTTTACAGTTTCAATTTAGGTAAAACTAAAGAATAATTTCAGCAAAGAAATTTTATTCCATGAGACTTTTCAAGGCAAATGATGTGTCTTATTAGTTTGAAATAGTGCAACTATTGTGCTTATAAAAATTATCTACCTTCAGTCCATATTTATAGATTTTAAAAGATTCATTTACTTTTGAAAGAATGAAATGGAGCTAACAAAGAAAAACAATGTAGTTAAAATCAGAGGAAAGATTATCCAAACCCTATATATTTAAAGGAATTTGTTTATAAGAGTGGTGAGTTCAGGAAAAACAGGAATAAGCAAACATATAAGGGTAACAATGAGTTTATGTAAAATGAAGGATATAAAAACAAGGAGATTTTTTAAAAGGAAGATATAAAGAAAGAAAAGCTATGACAAAATTAACAGAAAAGAGTAAAGTAAAAATAGAAGGAAATGTGAAAAACAATTGGGGTATAGTAGCAAACACTAGAAAAAAATGTCATGCATTTTTTTCCTAATGGATAATGATTTTATAATTAAACTCAGCTTTGAATCTGAAGTTTTAAATAATCAGATAACTTTAGAATATAAAATCCATGTTTTGTCTCAGCCATGCATTTACAATGGTAAGTACTCAGCAATAAGAAAATCTTTCACATTGATTTAGATAATACAAATTTATATACATCACTTTCAGATTAAAATAGTTTCAAAATAAGTTTTGACATGAAACATGGAGAAACAATTGTGCAAAATCCAAATATACAAAGTTCTATCTGGTTACATATTAGTTGGCACACCAGCTCCCTTACACAGAAGGAAGGGAGAAACAGAAGAAAGACACAGACCACTCCAGGTTGGTAGGTGGCAGGTTTAATAAGCAAGGGAACTACATACAAGACTTGTCTTAGTCTGTGCCATGAGACGAGTAGGTCTCAGCACCAGAATCTTAACCTATAGAGAGGCTTTAATTGGTTCAGTAAGGTGTTCAGTCCAGGTGGTCCAACAAAACCTTACTCTTAAGGCTACATCCTTGAAAACTTTGTGGGAATGGTGGGCAGGGCATAAATTCCTAGGTCAAAGGAAAAAGGGTGAGGAGCTACTGAATGCCCAGGGTCAAGGTCATGGGAAAACCAGTGGTCACATCCTCTTAATGGCTCCCTACAACATTCCACCCCTACACTGGCTCTTATAATTTTCCACACCCCCTCTTCCTCAATTGGCCTTGAGTGGTCAGCAAGGTGTTTTATTAGCATTGAGATGGCTCATTTGGCAGCTATCTGGCTGCACTGGAGGCAGAGGCCTCTACAAGAATTTAGACACATGGAAGATAACCACAGATTAAGATAATAATTCCCAAAATAAGTAAAAATTTTTTCTACCAAGGGCCCCATGATTGGAATCATTGATTTACTAAGTCACATAGACTGGTGGGCATTTACTTGTGTCCTCTTATGAATTAATAAAGATGACACATTAGCAGACTCATTATGGACACAAAACATTCTCTTTAGATAATGGCACAGGTGCCTCCTTGCAAGGCAGTATTCATGCCCTTGGACATCTGTTTTGGAGGACAGCTTTTGTCATTAGAGACATTTAAATCAGTATTCAGAAGAGACAGACTGTTGTCTACCATTCGAGGCTTGCTGGGTGAATTCTATAAGGACTCCTATCCTATATAATAAAAGCCCAATAGCTAAGTGTCCGATTGTCCGTTTGGCCGTTCAACCAATCAAAGTGTATATGCTAATCATATGCTAAGGCCACTCAACCGCTCCCTACGAAGTGCACTGACCACCAGGGGGGAGACAGTTGACCGGTCAGCCAATCTCTATGACGCACACTAACCATCAGGGGGCAGACGCTCCGACTGGTAGGTTAGCTTGCTGCTGAGATCCAGACGATCGGGACTGAGCGAGGAAGGCCAGACATGCCCTGGAGCCCTCCCACAGTCCCTCCCTGGATGGCCAACCTCCCATGTCCCTCCCTGGCCCAGATTGTGCACTGGTGGGGTCCCTTGGCCTGGACTGCTCCCTCTCGCAATCCAGGACCCCTCAGGAAATGTTGGAGAGCTGGTTTGGGCACCGGGCCTCTAGTGTGATATAAAGTCCACCAGGCAGTGGAGGGACAAAGAGAATGGCCAAATGATTATACAGGTGGAAAACAGAACATGCCCACCTGGCCTTGAGGAGAAGGAGGCTGGCAGCTTTAGGAAGTTGACCTGGTTGTGTAGACCATCCACGTTGGCTGGAGGAGGAGCACTGTCTGGCTGAAGAGATAGGGGCCAACTAAGACCTCTCTCTCTAATGGTGAATGTTTCACTCCAGGAATCATGCATTTTAATATGTCTGGTTTGCAGCAGACATATTGGGATTGAGTTGTTCCCTCTCACTCAGGGGTACAAAGAAACTCACTCATCTCTGTGGGATGTCCCATTGCAAATTCCAGTAGATAATGTCTTTCCCAGGCATGATGGGACCTGGGTTCTCAGCAGGGTAGCTCATTGATCCACAAATAAGAGGGGCAATGGCTCTCTTTGTCTTCCATACTTTTCAGGTGTTGGGTGTGTGGCAGGGTCCCCAGTCTGGCATATGGGTCACAGGCCCTGCTGGCTGATCATTTGAATGTATTAAAGCCTGAAATAGCACTTTAGTCCAGCCAACCAAGGTGTTTTATCTGTTAGTAATTTCACCTACTGCTTTAATATTCCATTTTTCCTTTCTACCAAACATGTTGCTTGCTGGTTATAGGTGAGATGGGGCCTCCATTCAATGTCATGTTCCTTTGCTCAGTCTGGTACATCATGACCTTTGAAGTGAGACCCCAGTCCCTGTCTATTCCACAAGGGTATCGATAAATGGAACCCAGCTTCTCTTACCCCCTAATGGTGGCAGCCTGTTTTACACAATGAGAGGGAAAGTTTATATTAGGACAGACACAGTCTTCTCACACAATAGGGCATATGTAGAACCATCACACAGAGGGAGGAGGCCAATATAATCATTTTCCAATCCAGCACCTGCTGGGAAATTTTGTGGATGGCCTCAGACACCTGTGGCAATTGTCTTGGGCATTGTTTACAACACACAAGACATGCTATTAATACATTAACCTTGTGACTGCATTTCAAGGGCAAACCAGCATCCTTGGCCACATTCCATCCCACAGCCACTTCAGTGGCCAGTCTTTCTGTGCAAAAATATCTGCTGTACTATCTAATGAAGGGTCATTTGCTAGGGTGGGTCATTTGCTAGGGTGCATATTTGAGCAAAGACATGAGCTTCCTGATTGCCAGGGGTGTGAGTGCCTTGTGAGCCTGGACTTGGAAGGCGGTGAGGACTGCCTCAGGCTCTTGCAAGCAAACTCAAATGTTTTTCCACATATCCTAACCCTACAAGGGCTTATTCATGATCACCTGCCCCTCAGCTTCCCGTTGTCCAAGCCATAGGGTTAATCCCTTTAGAACAGCCCAACTGTCAGTGTGGAGGAT